TGGTTTTAATTCTTAAAGAGAAGGTATTAGGCAGTTTCAAAAGGTGAAAGCACATTGATATATAAATATCTCGTATGTTTGGTTCCATTAAAAATTTTGTTGAATGACTTTTACATACAAGATACTTATAAAAATAAGATGTTTGTCTCTCCTCCCAAGAAGAACTCATAGTGGACCTCAGCAGTGAGTGTTTAGTAATTTCCATAGGAGCATCCAAGCCTCAGGCTAGTGTGGCCTGGTGTATGTCTTGTCTTAGAGAGACTGGTGGGATGATTTCCATGACACCAGCATTCAAATCAGGGACAGACTTTTCTTTTTGATGGGATGGCTGTTGAACTGGAAGCTAGATAGAGTTAGATCCCACCCTCCTTCCTCTCAGCTTGGAGTTCTCGCTGATTTAAGGTGGCTTTACTGATTTATTGTAAAAATTTATCTCACAGCCTTAGCTGTGAACTTTCAAAAGGATATTAAGACCTACTGCTACTTTTCGGATGTTCATCTCTGTATTTTCTCCTTTTATTTCCCCCTTTAAAGATTTCAGACACAGTGGTGCAAACCGTAGAAACGGTCAGGAACCAAAAGGAAACAGCCCAGACACAGCTTGGGGTTCGGGTGCTGGATTTTAACCACGTGGTTTATGGGAAAATCACCTGTGTGTTCATTCTGGCTTCTTGCAGGTTGACGAAGCCCTTGTCGTTTGCTGACTGTGTTGGGGATGAGCTGCCGTGGGGCTGGGAAGCGGGGTTCGACCCTCAGATTGGTGTCTACTACATCGATCACATCAACAGTAAGTATTTCTTTTCGGTAAAAGAAGCCAGATCAGAAAAGTAATCCCCTAAATCTAGACTTGTACAAAAGAGCAAACATTTTACAAAGTGAATTGCTTTATTTTAACCCCCACTTTCTCAGTGACTAATATTTAACTGAAATGGCCAGTTTGGAATTTGGGGCGTGTGTGTAGAGTTGGGCTTATGGGGGCAGAGAGAGAAAAAGGCGCCTGATCTGTTCAACACAAATACTGACACCGAGTCTGTACGTTTCGCCCCTGCTACTTTTTCATTTGATCAGAAGTGTCACTTTTTTGTGGAGATATTCTCTCTCTCTCCCTAAAAGTTCCTACAAAGTCCGTGAAGAATTCATAATTGTGGGTTTTAAAGTTAGCTTTTATTTTTGTATTTTGTGATAACCCTTTCATGATACTATGTTATTATTTATATACTAGGTTTTATTGCTTATCAGTGATTGACAACCAAATGCTTTAATGTTATGGCGGAGGGGACTGATTTTGTTAAAATTAAGTTCATTTAAAATGATCATAATTCATTATTATGTGATTGTACATAAAACAATACAGTGGAATATCTGAAATGTGTAACTATTTAAATCTCACTTTTATACTTATTTTGTATGTATAAGAGTTTAGCTTTTTTCCCTTAAATATCATTTGGGACATCAGGAACAAACCTACCTGTCTTGGTTCAACAGAAATGAGCTCTCATGGCATGAAATTGAGAAAATGAATCCCCTCATATCCCTCCCACCACCTACATACAAACTTGGGTTCCCAGCCCGCCTCAGGGCTCTCTCTTCTACTCAGGGAAAGAGGTGTTCTCAGCTCCCCCCCTCTGCCAAGATCCCTCTTAATAACCTTTATATGACCCTTCTCTCCTACTTCGTATCTTTACCAATTATTCCCAGTTTTAAAATTTTCTCCACCATTTCTGTATTTCTATTTTTAGTGGTTCTTTTGTCTTAGTATTTAAACACTGGAAACACTCAATATAAAACCAAACCAAAACCACCAAAAGTAAAAAACTGATAAAAATATCTCCCCCTCTGCCTCCCTCCCTCATACCCAAAACCGTCTTTCGACCCAGATCCCTTACCCGCTGTGGTCCTCTCTTTTCCCTTCGGGAAACTTGCTGGAAGCCACCTTCTGCAGGACTTCACTTCCTTCACGTTCACCAGCATTTCACAGAAACTGCTCCGGCCAAGGCCACCTGAGACCCCCGCGATGGATCTAGACAACACGTGGTCTTACCTTGTCTTCCTTGATGTGACCTTGCCCCGTCACTGGTTCCCTGTTCCT